AATAATAATAATAATAATAATAATAATAATAATAATAACAGAAAACAACAATAACAACAACAACAATAATAATAATAATAATAATAATGATGATAATAATAATAATAATAATAATAATAATAATAATAATAATAATAATAATAATAATAATAATAACAATAATAATAATAATAAAAAAAATAACAATAATAATAATAACAACGACAAAAATAATAACGATAATAATATTATAATGATAATAATAGTCATAATAATGAATAATGAATAGTCATAATAATGAATAATGAATAGTCATAATAAAAAGTAATGACAATCAGATAACAACCTCATATTCCCACTTTCTGCTCTTTTAATATTAAATTTAATTTCATGGATAAATTTCTTCGTACTGCTATTTTCTCATGATCATTTTGCACTGCAATAACTCTCTTTTTTTTCTTTAAACCTCCAGTCCATTTACCGTTGTTTCAAAATCAACTAGTTTCACAAAAAAAAATGGTTACAGAAAAAAAGGGAAATGAATTTGAAATCCGCGAACCATGACATTTTTAAGCGAGGGATCGTGTTTAATGATTTATTTCTCTCTCTCTCTCTACTCTCTTGTGGCCTTTATTTCTTTCTTTCACTTTAGAAAAAAAAAAGTGGGGGGTGGTATTTGAGGGGGAAGGAGGAGGGGGGGAAAACGTACCCGATGTTTCTTAAAGACCCCAGATTGACCCTCCTCCCCCCCTCCCCCCCTCCCCAACACACACACGGCATGAGGAACTATTCATCAAGCAGCGTGCTTAATTACAAATGGGTATTTAAATGACTGACATCTGCATTAGCGTACTGGCAGCCCGTGGCCGCTTTAGGTAGGAGTCTAATCACACACACAAGAGCACATTCCTCTTTGTAGCAGGCTAAATACTGCCGAGTGGACTGTGTAATGTACACGCACTCGATCGCTGCTCCCCTGGCTTCGTCCTCACTTACAATGTCCTGACAGCTTAATGAAGGATAGGAATATTTTTGTTTGTGTATTTCGGTCCAAGTTCATCCTTTTCTTCTTTTTCTCTCTCTCTTTCTCTTTCTTTTCCTTTTCGCTTTCATTCTTCTTCTTCTTTTCTCTTTTTTTCTAGGTCTGAAGATGTTTCTAGTATGAGGTTCTATACGAGGAGCCTGGGAACGGAGTCGACTGGTTTATGCGTCTGTCAGACATTCGGTCAAAGACGTTCCAGTTTTTTTTGTTTTTGTTTTTTTCTTGTGCTAAAACATTCAGGTTCAGGAAGAAGCGCTACCCTCTTTATGAAGAAAAAAAATGCAATATATGTCGATTGAAAAAATATTTTAAGAATCATGTCTATGACGAATGTCCCCGTTTCTCCGCACCTCAACTGCAGTTCTATTTCTGTTGCTGTAAATACTTGACTTACAACATCCCATTTACATTCGACCTGGCTTAGTGACGTTGCTCTCACGTCGCTTTACCTTTAATGTGGAAATTTGCGGTGGAAACGTAACCAACACAAGTAAATGCGATTGTTATTCAGTGTTGAATTCAGTGTGATGCTTTTATGGGACGTGGGTGACATAGGCACTGGTCCATAACGGAATTTCTTTTCCAGCTTTCATGTGTTATTCTAACACATTCCTGCAGCGTAAACGAATATAAAACTAAATTTCAATATCAAAAATATCCATCGTGCCTTCACAGGTTCACATCTTAGTATTGAAGTGCAAATCCTCTCTTGCCTTCTCCCGGGTGCAATTGCAATATTGATAGCTTGAGAAGACAGACGCATGTGTCCGTGTAACACATTCAAGTATCTCTTGACGTCGCTGATGACTCTCTCGGGAACTCTAGGGCCGACTGATACATAGGCGTATTGATTTCTCGCGTTTCCTAAAACGTTTTTCTTTCTTTTTCATTTATTTTGTGAGGTTGTTCGTCGTCTAGTTTTATTGTCCTCTTTATTTGTTTTATTTCATCTTTCTGTTTGTTTGTTTGTTTGTTTTTCTTTTACTTCTTTTCCTCTCATCTCGATTCACTGCGACGACGGGGGGGGAGGTTAATTAATCCATTAATTCATAAATCAAAAGAAACATGAGAAACATCCTTTCACAAAGGGGTAAACCAGATACGAATAAAACGAAAACGAAAACGAAACGAAGCAAAAACTACCAACAACATTAGCCGGGACGAACTAGCATCCTCGCCAGCCTCTGCACGGACCCCCAACCCCACCCCCCCAATCCCTCGTCCCAAAGCAGCCCAAAATCCCGACCAGAAACCCCAGCCTTCAAACCGTCCCCTCCCTAGCCCTTCCCTCTCCCTGAATTCCTGTTCTTCTTGCATTCAAAAGCAGGTATTGCATTCGATTGCCATGCTGTTTGGGCGAGGTTGGCCGTTCAGCCTCTAAGCAGGGAGGCTGCACAGAGAGGGATGCGATGGCCTGGGGCGCTCGCTTCGCCCTGCTCTGACGGGGCTGCGGCTGCCGCGGGTCTGCGCCTGGTTGGT